CCAAGAAAGTCTAAGAAACTTCTTCTCCAAGCTCAATTAATGTTGAACTAAGAACCTACTTATTGGAAACCAAACGTTTGATTTGAGAAAAGTCAAAGTATTCTATTTTGCATCATTCTACAACCACGCTGTAAAGTACATATTAATGATGCATGCTAATTTCATGTTAGGGTTGTCCTTCAAATTGGAGAAAAAGAGGTGCTTAAACCATAGAGGTAACTCTAAGACTAGAAGGTCCCGAAATAACGTGCTCTACTTTTTGGCTCAGCTATGGTACTCTTTCGGTCCCAAGCTAATCGATTCACCCCTCAAAACATAAGAAAAACCAATAACCCCTCATTTTATCTGTCAAACTTTCATAGCGAATCAAAACAAACATTGCTTAGTACTAGAATTTCGACTAGAATGGGGTACGTTAATCGTTTGCTTGGGACCAATAGGCTAGTCAAGTAGTGAGCCAATTTAAAATCGTTAGTTTCGTATTGATCGTTGCTTAAACCCCGTATAATCGATATACCCCTTCCTCCCCTACTTCGCTGGTATACGAACCAACATTTTGTTCAATATTGAAAGTACCCTATTCTGATAAGGAAAACAACTGCCTGTTGCGTTATCGTAAAATGCAACCTTCACTCTCTTCTCTGTTTCAGAGACCTAATTCAAAACTAATGATGGAGCTACTGAAAAAATCAACAAAAAATGTGTGACGAATCGACCTAGAACCACCGACGAACCGACGTGACAGCTCATACAAACTACTTTCAAATTCGTAACAAAGACGTTAAACACTACCGACATCTACTCATCCGATCACGTCATACCACACACAACAAGGACACGAACCCACGTATAATTTGTATTGCCTTGGGTTTTCGTCTCACCGCGTTTGACAGATCTGATTGCCCGTTTGAAAGTTCGAATCGCTCGTTTGACAATTCGAATTGTGGACAAACTTCTCCGGACTAGAAGAGACACAAGGCACAAGACACAAGGGCTCTACCTAACCGTGGCGGATATCCTGCAAGGAAGGGCAGATTCCGAGAATATCCTGACGCAAATTGACCTGAATGTTCAACCCCGACCGCTTCGTAACAACCTTATGCTAAGACTGCCTCTACGTCGCACAAATTATGGACCATTGCGGACTGCAGAGAATATTCAACAGAGTTGCATCTATTTTCGACTTTTATCTCTCCCGTGATGCACTTCGTCGAAAGTTTTCTTCTGTTTTTCGCCGGTAGGAGTAACTGACTATAAGATAGGGGAAATGGCTCTAATGTTGGCCTATGGATCTAAGATTGGGCCCATCGCTAAAAATCTGCTATTTATCAATATTATCTAGATGAACGCGTCATTGTGTCGGTACTAATGGATGTATTTGGGGTGCTATTGAAAATTTAATCGATTGCTGAATTTATGTATGGGCCCAAATTAGGGGCATTTAGGCCGACATTACATCCATATGTTTTAATTTATGTTTTTTTATGTTATGACCATGCTTGATTGTATTTTATTTTTTACTATAGTTGATAAGGTTAACATCATTGGGGCTTCATCCAGCCTGTTGATGTAAAACAACAATCAAACAATAAAACAAAACAACCTGGAGCTTTAGGTAGTTATAAACGTCGCTAGAACCATTTCACAGCCGCTTACGATAAATGAGCAAATCAGCATACAAATTGGAAGATTTGTTCCAAGTTAGTTAAAAACTGCTCGTATAAGAAAAAAAAATCCGAAGTAGACATTAAAATAATACAAAAGAAATGTCTATAATAACTTCGTGGATTTTGTCTGTAAATGCTCAAGGAATAATTATTTTTTCTTTGTATAGGAAATCCGTTTTGAACGGAATACAGAATAAGGATGCATCTACCAATTCACTTCATCATTCCGTCTCGCACGCTGAGCCGGTCAAGTCGCATCGGTCTCGTTGTACGACACTAGTTTTTGAGTTTTTGAGTTTTTCCCCACGCGAGGGTTTTTTCTCGCCAAAGTTAGTTGGCATAGTGTTAAGACAACTAGTGCGCGAGTGAGGAAGCCGTTAATCATACGCCGAGCGCTTTGATTACGGTCCAGCTTTAACATCAACATCTGTAAAATCATCACCACTATCGGCCCATTGATAGCAACAACGAAAGCACGTTAAATTGCCTACCGAGGCGAAAGAGGCATACCAGCTGCAAGGTTATCGACCCAACAGCCGTTGAGGAATACAATAGCATCGCACCAGTCATCTGCCGCCTCAGTGCAATAGGTATACCGTGTCGCTTTGTTTTCACCAGTATCGCATCTTCCCGCATGGTCCAGTATTAGATTAGGCTGGGTCATAATTAGGGTGATCCAAAATCTTGTAAATAGTATATATCTATAATTTTTTTTCTTGATTTTTTTTTCTCGTACTATTTTTAAGTAGAGTATAGTTAGGGTGATCCAATTTTTTTTTTCAGTATATACATATTTTTTTTTTCTATTTTTTTTCATGGTTTTTTTTTTGTTTCTTTCATATTACTCTTTAGTAGAGTAAAACTATATCAATTTTTTTTTTGTTTATTTTTGCATTTTTGTTTTTTTATTTTTGATATTATTTGAAATTACTGTAATTATTTGTAAAATATTTACCAAAAACACCATTGCGGCGATATTTAACCGCAACGGATGAAAATGATAAAGGCGGGGGATGGTCGCTTTCCATCTCAGACGACGAAACTCTTAATTCCACCTCACACGAAAGTCTCGAGGAAGTTGTGGAAATGGAAACCCTTGACGTTCCAGTTGACTCGCTCTCCAGCAAAAATACTGGAGCATATCCCAAGAAAAGATATCGCCCACAACCCTCTCCCCCACCATCTCCTCCTCGTCCACCTGCACCCCCCACACCATTGCCCCCGAAAACCTCTGCGCTCCCCCGCCTAAAGGCTTACCCAGAAGCCTCGAAAGGCCCATGGGTTGTTTTTTTCCGGCCCAAATAAAAACCTTTGAACATTCCGAGGATCTCTAAGGATCTAACAACACATTTTTCGGCCGTTACCGATATTTTCAAGGTAGCACCAATAAAACTGCGCGTTACCGTTGATGACCGGAAGCAGGCTAACCAAATTGTTGCGTGCGAGCTTTTTTCATTGGAATACCGAGTCTACATACCCAGTAGTGAGGTAGAAATTGAAGGAGTGGTCACCAAAGCGAGTTTGACTAGTGATGATTTCTTGGGTTCCGATTCCTTCGGAATCTTTAAAAACCGTGCCCTGCCGAAGGTGAAGATATTGGACTGCCTTCAAATGCAGTCAGTATCCGTAGTAGGCTCCAAAAAAACGTATTCCTTGTCAAACTCGTTTCGTGTGACCTTTTCGGGTTCAGCGTTACCTCACTACGTCGCTATTGGCAAGGTTCGGCTGCCTGTACGTCTGTTTGTACCTCGGGTAATGAACTGCTCGAAATGTAAACAACTTGGTCATACATCGGACTACTGCTCGAATAAACCACGCTGCGATCAGTGTGGCGAGCAACATCAAGAGGGCCCTTGCGGTGCTCCTCCAAAATGCGTGTACTGCAAGGAAAGCCTACTGACCTGCCCTGACTGACTGCCCGAGGTATAAACAGCAGGGAGAAAAACTTAAGCGGTCTCTGCAAGCTCGCTCCAAGAGAACTCTAGCAGAACTCTTGAAGAATACCGCTTCATCTTCTCAGACCACACCAAAAAGCAGTAACACGTTCTCCATTTTGCCAGTTGATGATCTAGACTCTGACTCAGAGGTCGGTGAGGATAGTCCGTTTGTCTTTAAAGGCAATTCGGAGAGGCAAAGGAACGAGCGACTGTCTTGCGTTGCTTTCAACTGAAATTCAACTGGCCTATGCGCAAAAACAGCAAATGGGTTCAGTTTTCTTGGACATTAAGGGGGCTTTTCATTCTGTTTGTATCGATGTCCTTTCGGATAAACTCCACGATAGTGGGCTTTCACCAATTATGAACAACTATTTGAGCAACTTGTTGTCTGAGAAATATATGAGCTTCTCTCATGGAAACTCGACAACTTTACGAATTAGTTACATGGGTCTCCCCCAGGGCTCATGTTTAAGCCCCCTTCTTTATAATTTTTATGTAAAAGACATTGATGGTTGTCTTGATGAAAATTGCTCGCATAGGCAGCTTGCAGATGACGGGGTTGTGTCCGTTATAGGGCCAAGTGCACCGGACCTGCAAGGACCATTGCAAGATACCTTAGACAATTTGTCTACTTGGGCAATGAAGCTGGGTATCGAATTCTCTCCGGAGAAAACTGAGTTGGTTGTTTTTTCTAGGAAGCATCATCCTGCACAGTTACAGCTTCAACTAAAGGGTAGAACAATCACTCAAAGTATATCTTTCAAGTATTTAGGTGTCTGGTTCGATTCCAAAAGCACGTGGGGAAAACATATTGCGTATGTGAAACAAAAATGCCAACAAAGAATCAATTTTCTTCGTACAATTACCGGAACTTGGTGGGGAGCACACCCGGAAGATCTGATCAGGTTGTATCGAACAACCATCTTGTCGGTTCTAGAGTACGGTAGCTTCTGCTTTCAATCCGCGGCGAAAACACATATCTTGAAGCTGCAACGAGTTCAATACCGTTGCCTCCAAATCGTGCTTGGCTGTATGCACTCGACGCATACGATGAGCCTCGAAGTACTCGCGGGTGTTCTTCCACTGACAGATCGTTTCGCGGAGCTGTCCTTTCGGTTTCTTATCCGTTGTGAAGTAATGAACCCATTGGTAATAGAAAATCCCTACCCTGCCACCCGTTTGTTACAATTTGTTACCCCTAACCTCGAGAAAGCCGCGAGTAATCGCCCCCCGCTTTACTAACGTTAGTTTTAAGTAATTTTGTACCCAAACGATGAATATCGGCTCCGCAAAGCTACGGCAAATGAGCCTGGAAAAATAAACGCATTTAAAAAAAAAAAAAAAAAATTCACTTCATCCGTTGGTTACAGTCAACTCCTAAATCAAACACATGTGCTCATCTTTGCAATACATTTTAAACTTTATTACGAAAACTTATTGCCATTTATACACTTTTCTCGGAAACAACAGAACAAACAGATGTGATTCTTTTCGTTTGCATCATGTATGTACACGTTAAAACTAGTATAGAAATTAATATACTCTCTCATCGCTAATTTGTACGGCTGTTGCTAACCTTACTGAGTTCGGGAAAACCGAAAGAAAATGCTACACCCAATTAATAATATGGTCCAAGAAACCAAGTGGACAACTACGGGATGGATTCAATTAAATGAACGAAAGATAACAGTTTACGAAAATGCGTTTGAACGCGAGACATCTTGATCCATTTTCTGATAGTTGATGATCTTTTCCTATTTACAAGCTTTCATTACTCTAGAAAAAAAAGATGTACGTCTTTTCCATTTACAAATCTATAACTTTGTTCTTAAATTTATGTTTTTACACGATTTTACAGCATTCGACAACATTTGATATTCATCGATTGGCTGATATTTATAAATACTACACCATTTTAGTTGGTTTCCGGGTAAAACTACATTGATATTTTTTTCGAATTTTCATTTAGTTTTCTTTTATTCTCTTTGCTAAAAACGAATATCTAACACTATCGTTAAAAAATAAATTGAATTATTAACTACAAAAATGTTTAAATATGGCTTTGAAATTGTTTTTTTTTTTCCACCATGAGAGTCTCGCATAAACGATCTCGGTTCGACTTCTATACTTAAAACAGTGATAGGAAAACTCTGTTCGTCACGATTTCTGCACGCCAAACGATAACTGCTATTTTCCCGATCGCAATCGTCGGATTCCTCGGATTTACATTGCCCCAATTATCACCTCTCGCGACTTTTCGTCCATTTCGATGATCTCCTCCTTCTGAACGATCTGCGACTGATGCAGCGGAGCGGTTTGACCTGTCGGAAACCGGATGGAATGGAATGTTAGTTGGAATCTTTTCCACAGCAGCCGGGAAAAGCGAGCTATAGTTACCGTATTTCTCGTGAATGCCGCGATGTCGCTTGAGGGCAAACCGATCGGCGAACGCCGCCGAACAAATGTCGCATTTGAACGGTTTCAAACCGGAGTGTACCTAGTGGGTAGGATGGGGGGGGGGGGGGAAGGGGGGTTGATTAAAAGTACAATTTCACAGAATTGTGTTGGTTTATGCTGACCTTTTCGTGATTTTTTAGATGAGCTGCTTGGCTAAATGCCGACTGGCATCGGTTGCACTTGTACGGTTTCTCGCCGGTATGGATGCGCCGGTGGTTCCAGAGCGTGGCATGACGGGCGAATCCTTTATCACAGACCTAGGAGGATTTTTAGATTTAGTTTCAGAATAGTTTATTGGTAGGTAAATCTAGTTAAGTATTCTAGCATCTAGACAAAACATTTGGTTACAGAACAAAACATGGAAGAATCAGATGATCAAACTAACCAATTTTTTCTTAAGGCATAAACAAGTGCATGATTCCAAATTGTTCACTATAATTCCGGTTAATCTGGGTTGTCCTACGTTTTATCATCATCCTTCTTCCTCTTCTTCTTCTTCTTCTTCTTCGCAATTAAAGCTTTTATTATTATTATTATTATTATTATTATTATTATTATTATTATTATTATTATTATTATTATTATAGTCACTTTAACTCTTGGGTCATTCGTGACATGTCCGGGGTGAGATTTGAACTCGTGACTTTGGCGTGAGAGGTATGGATGTTAACCACTTCGCCGGGGTTTATCGCATATTAACTTATTGCGTGCTCTCAACGCAGTGTTCTAGATGCACTTCCACAATTATTAATAATTGACAGCTTTGGATGCTTGTCTTGTACCATTTTTGCATTAGTATAATTGTGTGGTGTCCAGGGAAGTCGAGAAATTTTCCAACGCGAAAAATTCCTATATCAGATCGAGAATCAAACCCAACCACCTCCAGCCTATCCGTTGCAATACATCACCATTCACCGATATGTATGCGTTCTGAACTTTAGTACGTAGTATCCTAGAATACGCGGCTCGATCACTGCTGTCAGAAATAGTGATTTGAGTAACCATGTTGAATAAATAAGTTACCAAATAGTGACTTCAAACCTATAATACTACAAGAAATTTTCAAGAATCTGGAGTCAAATTCCATGCACAGGCTTAAAGACTCTAGGAATTTTATTATAATTTCTAAGGACCTCATTCCAAGGAAGCTCTGGGGAAAAACATCAAATGCAATCAGGTTTCAAGGTAGTTCTGAGGAATTTTAGATTTCATGTGAAGCCTTAGTTTTGAGTAGAATTCCAAGAAACCCTGAATTGAATTCAAAGTAAATTTTAATGAAAAATCTTAGAAATTTCTGAGGATCACAACTCTTGTGAACATCACCGGAAAATGCCAAGCGCATTCTGAGCATAATTTCATAAAGTTTGTGGCAAAAAATGAATCCGGAGCACAAGTCCTTGGAATTTTTTTTTTTAAATACTAAAAGGAGGATTACAATTAAATGTGAGAATAACTCCAGAACATCTTCAATTCGGAAATCGGAAAATAAATTCAGGAGAATTTACCAAACAAATTATGAGAAGAAATCTAAGGAATTTGTGAGGAGAATTGCCAATGAATTGTTAGGTGACTTTTAATGTGAGTATAATTCCAAGGGAAGGAGTGAAATTCAAAAGAAAATCTGAAATGAATTCAATGAATACTCGGATAATCTTTCCAAAGGGTTTCTAATTGTGGAGAATTTCAAGGTAATTTCGAGGAAAACTTAAAGAAAATTTCATTCTGAGGATAGCTTCATCGAGATTTTGAGGAATATTTCAATGGAAATCTCCGTTGAATATAAAATGGACCTCAATTCAGAACCACTTGAAAGTTCTCAAATTTTTCCTGAAGTTAAAGAAATTGCCTTGAAGTTCTTTTGTAGTTTGAGAAACTAGCCTGATGCTCACAATACTTCTCCTTAAATTCCGAACTTTATAGGACTTCCTAAAGTTTCCCCAATTTTTCTAACGATCATGGATTTCCTTTAAAGGTTTAACAATTCACTGAAGTTCTCTAAACTTCTTTAAAATTTATGTGACTTCTCTAATGTTGACGGAACTGCTCAGTTTTTGCAGTTCTCATGAAGCTTGTTGTACTGCGCTGAATTTAATTGAATCGTCCTAAAATTTTTAAGCTTCAGTGAGCATCTGAACTCATGCGAAGACCTAAAATAACTTTTTAACGTCTCTGAAGTTATCTGAAAATCTGGGAACTGCTTTAATTTCCCCCCTTATTTTCTGGAACTAATGGAACTGACCTCCCCCTGAAATTCCTCCAATTTTCTGAGCTTACTAAACTTCTTTCAAATGCTCCCGCATTTTGCTAATGATCATAAAATTTCCTGAAGTTCGCGGATCGCATCTTAAGCTCCATAGATTTCTATGAAGTAATGTTTCTGAAGACCACTGAAGACCACAAAAATACCGGTAAATTTTGAATATTTGATCAACCAGCAGCCCAAATTTCAGCAATTTAAATGCATATACTTAAATATTACAGCTCTTTGAACATTTTTGGACAGACTGACACTTTACAATAGCCTTTAATATGACTTAAGGGGGAAAATATCGAGTTAATGTTTTTTTATCGATTTTTTATATTTTACTTTAATTTTTTTTTTTTAAATGCTGCGAGCACGCGGTATCGCCGATTAACCGTAAGTTCCAGAAATCATGTTTTTACACAACTCAAAACTTTAAACGCGTTTTTCTCAAAACGGTGTTTTCCAAATTGGCGGGAAAGATAACTCAAAAAGTTCTCATCCAAATGACTTAAAATCTGGAGCATCTTAAAGGAAATAGATTTTTACTCTATGTGAACCACTGATATCATGAAAAAGTTACAAAAAACAATTTTCAGGTCTGCCTAAAGTGAAAAAAAAAACAGTGAAAAATCAGCTTTTTTCAGATATTTTTTTCTAAATTTTTAAATTGTTTTTTTTTTTGTTTTAGAGGTTCACATAGAACAAAAATCTTTTCTGAATAAGGTCCAATTGATAAAAGTAAGTTTTGTCCATTTTTCAGGTCTCTAGAACGCCCGCCAATTACCAATCCCCACCGGAGGCGACCACCTTCCGATGTGACGCCAAGGAGCCACAAAGGTCACACACCAATGAAAAGAATCTCAAATGTAGAGGAAGATTTAAGCAATTTAATGCAAAAAACCCCAAACGTTTACGTTTGCGTTGTTTCATTTGCACACAAAAAAATTCCGAAAATCGTCGAGTTTTTGACGTGTTACTTGTATTTCCCCCCTTAAGAGAGGAGCAGATTCAAAATAAACTGCCTTGGCAACCTCTGTCTGGGATGTTTCTGGCAACACTGCCAATGGAATCAAGATAGGCGATCCTCGATTGGCTCTGGCTTTGACAGTTCGTTTTGCTCAAAACCAACCAGTCCGCTCCTCTCTTATACTAGACCCTTTATAATATGTCCGGTTCTGTACATACTTGGAAATGAACTAGTGAACTTTATAGCATGAAAACTTCAGTTAAATAATTTCAAAAGCTGTGCGTCAAAATAAAATGAAAAATTTATTTATTAAAATTTTACTTGAAAATATTCAAGGATTAAAAAGGAGGATGTTTTGAGGCGAAAGGAGGACATGTAAAAAAATGTTGAAAAAGGAGGACATGTCCTCCTTTACACACTATTTTTATTTTGCTGGAAACCAGCAAAGTTTTGCTGGATTTTGCCGAGCTGTAAAATCAGCAATTCTTCCAGCAAAATATTGTTGCTGGACGACCAGCAAAATGACCCGACGTAAAAGTGACAGCTGTTTACTGAAACATCAGCAATATTTACTGGATATCCAGCAAACCCGAGAAGCAATGATTTTGCTGAAAGATCAGTAATTTGTTGTAATACGATTGAATTGGAATTGCATTTAAAAATTAAATAAAACACAATCTAATTTGGTATTATATTAGGCACTTTAAATTTCGCATAAAAATTACATTTAGACGATAACTGTTGTTCATAATTTAAAAAAGGTAAATATTTTCCTTCGATCCATCGTACACTGGACGATACTCATTGACTATCGAATCCGGCAATTGTTGCAGCTACATTAAAGCAGAGAATAGAAATATTACAAACAAGATTTTAAATTAAATGTAGAGTTCACAATAATTTGCAATTATTCTCATTGTTTTTACCTGTAATTAATGATAGCTGACACTGTTGTAATTGCAAAACAGAATACGCGGGAAAGTGAAGGGTGATAGTTTGAAAGCTCACACACGTTACTGAGCATCCAGCAAAATATTGCAAATTACTGAACATACAGCAGAACATTGTTTTGCTGGAAGCTGTTCAGCAATTTGTTTTGCTGGAACTTGGTTTCAAAATTGAGTGTGTAGGATACCATATGGTAACCCTACTACAGACCCATAGCGCATTTGTAGCCTTAGTTATAACCTTGTCAAGATGAGAGTCTCAGTTCAGTTTCCTATCGAAAGAGACACCTAGGTATTTAACTTTATCCGCGAACTGAATTCGAACTCCATCTAGAGTAGGCTGTGTCAACATATTTTTTTTCCTTTTGGTGAAAGGAACTATGACAGTTTTTGAAGGGTTTACATTTGAGCCCTCTTTCCTACACCAATGGAAGGTCATATTTAGGGCAGTTTGCAACCGATTTGAAATCGTGTTCTGAAACTTTCCCCGCACTATAACGGCCACATCGTCTGCGTAGCCAATACCCTCAAAACCCTGCTCCGCTAAACTTTTAAGGAGTTCGTCCACTACTAAAGACCACAATAAGGGTGCTAGTACCCCTCCTTGAGGACAACCCTTCATCGATCTTATAGTTAGTTGCGCACCTCCAAGATCAGCAGAAAATTCTCGATCTGTGAGCATCGCCATTATCCATTCGATAATGCAGTTATCCAAGCCCCTTGCTTCCATAGCTGAACGCATTGAGCTGTAGGATGCATTATCGAATGCTCCTTCAATATCAAGAAAAGCAACCACGGCTATTTCCTTGGCTTCAAGCGATTTCGCGATTTTAATAACCAGCTATTGTAATGCCGTTATCGTTATCGTTGCTAAGAGTTAACCTTGCTTGTTAACTTGTTGATTTAATGAAGTCATCCACAATTTTTTTCCATTGTCGATAGATATTGAGTTAACTAGAAGATTAAGTGTATTTATCAACCGATTCGAGTATGAATATGGCATTAAATCTGTTTAGAAAGTTGGTGCACAGGTAAAAAGTGAGGATACGCGACGCCATGCTTTAAATAGTTCAGTAAAGAGGGGAATGAGTCCTTCTT